CCCAGTCCTGCTTCCCTCACTCTTCCCAGGTACTCTTCCCAAACTCATATTCCCCAAAATTTCTACATGCAAATCTTAGAGTCTGTTTCCTGAGGAACCCACTTGCAACATTCACCAAAATGAATATTTTTCCAAATGTCAAACAGTTACTGATGTCTGAGAATATGATAGTAAAACATGATGAACATAAATGAGGGTTTCTTGACACCATCTTACAGTGCAGGAGCTGTTTAGGCAGGGCTACCACTGGCCTGTTCAGCATCTTTTTATGTATTAGAAAAATGCACTCCCATTGAATGGAGGGGCTTGTGGCTACATGGTTCTATGAGTGGAGCAGTAAGGGCTGGATTTCATCCTACTAGCTCCTTTGGCTAGACAACCTTATATATTGAGTAATCTATGCAACACTACATGGTGGCCTTCCTTAGATTCAAAAGATCAGAGTGCACCAAGGCAACAATTGCCCACTATTCAAAAACAACACAGTTGCTGGAGTAGAGGACAAGTGACAATTAAATATTTTTTTAAAAGATGTTTGAAATGTCATGGTTAGGACGCTAGCAACACGAACTACTGCCAAGATGCCTATGGGTGAGAGAAAACATGAATTAAGAGGGTCATGATAGTACCCGAAAATACCTCATGCATCCGAAGGAAACCAGAATATGTCACCCCAAAATATGCCTCTTGACCTAGGAATTATTTTGAGTTGAAGGCAATTAAGAAACAGTAAACACAGAAAAAGCTCCCCCTTTTGTGCCTAAAGGCAGGAAATAAATTCTTTTCCTGGAGACAGACACTTATCAGCCCCAAGACAGGGCACCAGAGGAATCTGCAAACTAATCTTGTTAAACTAACCCTTATCTTCCTAGTTTCTTCTTCACCATTTACTATCTCTAACCTAAACTCCTTCATCTTGTCAATTACTCATAAATGTATTGTTTCTTTGTCTAAAAGGTATAAAAGCTTCCTGCTCTGGTCAGTTCTTAGATCTTCATTCCCTTATGAAGGCCCCCAAGTACATGTAAAAATTCAGTAAAATTTGTATGCTTTTCTCCTATTAATCTTTGTCAATTTAATTTTCAGACCCAGCCAGGAACCCTAAGAGGGTCAAGGAAAACTTTTTCCTCCCAGAAAGATCACATCTACAAATGAGGTAAGAATGGAAAGAGGTTGGGGCGCCTGGGTGGCTCAGTCAGTTATGCATCTGTCTTCAGCTCAGGTCATGATCCCAGGGTCCTGGGATGGAGCCCCGTGTCGGGCTCCCTGCTCAGCAGGGAGCCTGCTTCTCCCTCTCCTTCCACCGCTCCCCTTGCTTGTGCTATCTCAAATAAATAAATAAAATCTTTTAAAAAAAAATGGGAAGAGGTTAAAAAACAGTTATATAAATCTTAAAAATCTTTAAAAAAAAATGTTGGGGGGCACACCTAGGTGGCTCAGTCAGTTAAGTGTCTGCCTTGAGCTCAGGTCATGAACCCAAGGTCCTGGGATTGAGCCCCTCCACAGACTCCCCTGCTCAGCAGGGAGTCTGTTTCTCCCTCTGCTCTCTCCCTGCTCATGCTCTCTCTCTCTCAAATAAATAAATAAATAAATAAATAAATAAATAAATAAATAAATAAATCTTTAAAAAGAGAAAGAAAGACAGCCGTTGGTGGTCAGAAGGTAAGGGTAAAATAAAGGGGCAAGCCAAGGCAAATACTGCAGGACTGAGTCTACAAGTGGACAATATGTTCTGGGCAATCATTCTTGGACTGAAGTCTTGCTGCACAGGTCTTATTTTTGTATATGGTGGTATAATATCTGCGAATGTTCAAAGGATTTTGCAGGTGGGATGTTCCAAACACAAGGTCTTCCCCTGAGAAGCAACTGAAAACATGTGTATAATTATTAAACCATACTTGCATAAGTGAATCAAGAAAAGATTCTCTGATGATGACTGTTTTTCATTCTTATTCCAGAAGTAAGAGTAAAATGGTAAGGAATGGGTATAAAATGGAGGGTGGGGTGAGGGTTGCCTCTTCATGTAGTCTCTATTCTATAAATAATTACTGAGGTCCTACCTCATGCTGCACAGTCAGCTCTAATATTTTATGTTCCTGCATCTAAGTAGTTGCTCAAAATAAACTGCATATGCAAATAAAACGGTTTTATAAGGAATTTTCCAATGAATCACTTACTGTTCCATCTAGATCATCTGGGTAACATCCTCTCTAAATGTAAGTATTACATTCCATAAAGGAAAAGGAAATCTGAACTGGACTCTGCTCCTTAAGACAGATTTTTAAAACTCCTATCCCTCACCTCTCCTATTTCAAATATCCAACCATCATAGAGAAGAAGAAAGCACCTAATCATCCTCCAGAATACAATAGGTTAATAGACATGGGAACAAGAGAGAAATAAAATGGAAACAGAGGCATCTTCTAAACGTGTCCTTTCATGTCGTTTTATCTACCAAGTCACTCCCTGATTTGGGCTGTCTCTGCACCTGGCAACTCTTGTACTGCTACACTTAGCACCTTGAGTGTATAAACTTTCTATTTACTTAGCTCCTTCTTGCACTAGACCACAGGCTGCTGGAGAGCAAGAACCAGGTTTTAATCACTGCCACATCCCCTCCCGTAAAGTAAAGCCTGGTCTATAGGAAGCCCACAGATGGTTATCTAGGTCTATAAGCTAGAGAACACATCCCAAGGGTTATTGAGAAAAGGACTGTCTAAAATAGATATTAGGAGTTAGAATCAGTGTCTAGAAAACTCAAGGAGCAGTAATGGAAGAATTACCAGTAAGGGAATGCAAGCAAGAGGGAGGGCAGGTTTGAGTAAATCCCTGAAATAAGAACTATGCTCTTAACTAACTGTGTGAAGGAAAAAGATGGGAAACATTGGGATGCTAGTACAAAATATAAACAAATGGGATATGCAATTTGGGTTTGCAATTTGTTATGTGTTGCACTTTTATATTTATCTTTGTCAATGACCTCTCCAGGATTTGAAACTTGAGACTTCTGAACCATCCTCACCAATCCCTCCCCAACATCACCATGTCCAAGAGTCTCAGTTCTTCTCTGGTTTCTCCTTAACCCTTTCCCAGTATTTTATTCTCACAGCTGCCACTTCTGTTTAGGTCCCCATTATTTTTCACTGGAGTCGTATGCTCCTAATTCAATTCTCTGTTTCCTGTCCTTTAAAAACTGTTCTCTGGTCTGAGCCTATCTTTCTAAATTTTGGTTCTGATTATATAACTTCCTGATTCAATAACCTCAATGGCCCTCTATTTGCAAAGTTCTCTAGAGTAAAACTCTAAGTCATTATTACCACAATACAAGTAACATGGCAGAGTAAACGTGCATGGGCAATGGAGTCAAATAGAACCAAGTTTTGAAAACTGCATCTACCAGTCACTAGCAATGTAACTACATGAGTCACTTTTACCTCTCTAAGGTTCAGATTTCCAGAGAAAGAATGGTAACTCAGAAGACTAAAAAAGAATGTGCCTAGTCTAGTGCTGGGTAGATGAAAGGGGCTCTATATCTTTCCTCCCACCTTCCCACCCAAACCACAATTTCAGCCTTGATGATACCCTTACATAGCTCTAAACATTGTGCCTCACGATGCTGTCCTCTGTGCTCCTACAAGATCTTTGATTGCAGTTCACATATCACTTATCCTATTCTGCTTGTGTCTTATTATAAGCACATTTAGATATAATTATTATTTTGAGCAGTTAGTCCTTTCTTCCCTTCTAGGTTGAAAAAAACTCAAGATGAGGATTTGATCTTGTTCATCTTCTTATCTCCCATAACATAGAGCATTAGGTACTACGCATAATAGGAACACTATAAATGTCTACTAGTTGAATTGTATACTTTTACATGACCTACTCAAGTTTTAAAACCAAAATTTCCTTTTGCTTTAAGAATGAAAAGAGAAGCAGAACAGAGAATTACTATCACGGGCCTTGAAATACAGTCAATGTTCCCTAAATTGAGTTGATTAATTTGTGTATCACAGACTGAACACCTACTATGGTGAAGACAGTCTTTAAAAATAAGGGTTTTCAGGGGCGCCTGGGTGGCTCAGTTGTTAAGTGTCTGCGTTCGGCTCAGGTCATGATCCCAGGGTCCTGGGATCAAGCCCCGCATCCGGCTCCCTGCTTGGTGGGAAGCCTGCTTCTCCCTCTCCCGCTCCCATTGCTTGTGTTCCCTCTCTCTCTGTGTCTCTGTCAAATAAATAAATAAGTAATCTTTTAAAAATAATTAAAAAATAAAGGTTTTCAGTCAAAAAAAAGATGGGCAAAAGATAATAGCTACTCAAATCCATCATTACTACCGAAAAAAAACACACCCAAAGATCAGTTCTAATGTTACTGAACAGCAAAATTATTCTGCTCTAGAATATGAGTATTAATTTGAATAGGTTTGTACTGTTTCCACAGAAACTAAAACCTAAAATAAGCTTAAATTGCATGCAGAAATGTATGATTTTAAGGATGCTTTAGCTGAACTGTATCCAATGAAAAAAATTATGTTTCCTATTTTATTTTTGGTAAATAATATAAAGATCTAATCTTTGAGCAGATTAAAAATTAATACAGTGATACTGCATATTTTTAAAGTCTTTCTCTTGAAAGTAAAATAACCCAAAGTCAAACTTTTATAAGAGAGCATAGAAGTTATTACTAATGTAACTTTTGACAGTTGTTGCTGCTAACTTTTATAAAAACACACGTCAAAATGGTTAAGCTCATGAATTGTCAGGAGACCCCAGTTAAATCTCTTAGAGCTTTAGTCTTTGACCAAATGGACTTAATCTCCATCTGATTGAGCCCTTGATAAATGGTAGTTGTAAAAACCATCATCATTATCACGTAAGTTTACTTCGTTGTAATTATTTACGACTTGATTATATATATTATATATCGCCATTACATTATATTCTATATGTACGTATAATATTACATTATGTATTATAGCGGCGCTATATGAAATTCTCAGCTACCTTTTACAGATATTTTTTACAAAGTACCCTTCTTTCGAAGACGCTCCAGGCAAGCCGCACTGTGCTCAAGTCCCCCTGGCGCGCGGGTGGCCTCGTCGCGGGCCGGCTCCCGAGGCTGTTGCTGCGGCCAGGCGGTGCTCAGCCGCGAGGGGCCCGCGGGAGCCGCGAGCGGCGCAGGCCTGTGGCGGGCGCCGGGGCCCAGAATGGGCTGCACGGCGAGTCCTGGCCAAGCCGCCCGCGCTGCCCCGCCCGCTGGCGGGAATGAGTGACAGCGACAACAGGTGCAAGCGCGGAGTCCGAGGCTTCTCGGGAGTCCCCGAGTTTGGCGCGTCAGGCCCGAGGGGTCAGAGTTTGAGTCTGGAAACCGCCCTCCTCGCCTTGCACCAGCCTTCCGAAGTCGCCCCTCAACCGGCCTCGGGCTCCTTAGTAAAGCCTGAGGTCACGTCAACCTCTAGAAACCCACCAGTCCTGGGCGCCGAATTTTCTCCAAAGGGGAGAAGAGAGGAAGGCGTGCGGTGCATGGTGCTTTGCATAACCGTTCGCGCTCTCCTCCCCAGCCGTCGGAAAGCAGGCGAGAGTGGCCCCAGGGCCAAGCCCTCGTCCGCACACCCCACGCCCACCCCGACTTTGGGGCACGCTCTTCCCCTCAGACGGCCCAGCTCGGCGACCACGGGCCACAGCCGAAACCGCCCGCCCGCGCCGCTCCCCGGCTTGCGGCGCCCGCCCGCCCCGCCGCCCGAGGCGACGTCGCCTGCTCCTCCCCACCCCCCTGGGTGGCAGGTTCAGGCCCCGGGTCCGAGCCTGCGCCCCTGCAGCTGCCACTGCCGCCGTCACCGCCAGGGGGAGTGTCCGTCAGGAAACGTGGTGTTGCTTCCTTGGTGTGAAGCAAACTTCGGGTTTCTGTTCCTTTCCCCCGGTGTTTGAAGCGCGTAGAGGAAGATGGAGACCGAGTCCGGGGCGGTGAGTACAACAGTCAGGGCCTCCGGCCCCGGGGTAGCAGGGGTAAGGAGCAACGTGGACTCCATTCCTGAGGGGCTGGAAGAGCGAGGTCTAGCGCCCAAACGCCCACTATTTTGTCGGGAAGAAATGTGGACAGGATGCCCATCTACCACCGCGAAGAGCGGCCCGCCTGCAGGCCCGGTCGGGTCGTGTCGTGTGGGCGGCAAGGTGGGACCACCGGGCCTGGACCGGGTGTAGGCTGGCTGGGGGACCTCAGGAAAGGCCGGGAGATTTCGGGAGTCGGCGGGTGGCTGGGCCCTGTGCACCAGGCGGGGCTGGGCAAGAGCAACAGCTTTCCCGCCGAAACTGGGCTCAGCGGCGTCTTTGACGCTCGCTCTGGCGGGACTCCGCCCAGCCGCCCACGGCGAGGGGTTGCCAGGGCAGCTGACGCCGCCTCTCCCCGACTGGTCAGTGTGGACCGGAAGGCCTGAGAGACCTGGGGGAGGGGAGGGGCACCGTGGCCCACGACGGACCCAGACACTCGAACACCTCAGGGCCCGGGGGGGGAGGGGCGGGAGCCAGAGAAGGCCTGAGGGGCCTGAGGCCCAGAGGCAGGCGCTGCGGTGTCCCGCCTCGCGCCCCGCTGGCAGCCAATCAACGCGCGCCACGTGCGGACCGGGGGGTTGCCGGCGCTCGAGGCCGACGTCGGGTCGGTGCCGTTGAGGGTTCCCGCCACTGCTGCTGGCGGGATTGCGGGACAAAATTTCTCGCTGGCTAGCCTTCTTTTCCCTCCCGCACTTTGGTGGGGAGGGGGTGGATCCTCGCGTCAGTGTCCAAGTTCACGATGACCCGAGAGAACCCGAGGAAGTTTTTGCCGCGGCCATATCCCCCAGCGCCTCAGCTTGCTGGCCGCTGAGGGGAAGGAGCACCGAGGCCGTGACCGCGACGGTTAGCCTGCCCTCTTCCTGTTGTCTTCGTTGGCAAAGTGGATGATAGATTTCGAGGTTAATTCTCAAGGGAAGAAGTCAGTAAGGGCACGTTAGAGGACATTTTTAATAAAATCTTTAGTGTTGGAAGTTTTGCTAAGCTAAGGACCCTTACGTCTAACCAAATAATAGCACCTTCCTAAGTGCTTTTCATACATTTGCGAAATCATTGCCAGTGAAATGAGGCTTTATTGTTTAACTCCATGCATCGCTAGCCTTCTCTAAGGAATTTAGATATTGCTTCTGCTTGAGCCTTGTCACTGCTAACATTAAAATATTTTCTAGGCTATTTTAATAGCATATTCTTAAACCTCAGCCTAATGGTTGGGATATCATGAGCAGGAAGAAATGATTCATTCGTTTATTCATTTGTTCAACAAATATTAATTGAACACTTCCTATGTACCGGCTCGACTTGAGACGCTTAGTGAGCAAAACAGGCAGAATCCCTTCCCGTATGAATATTGCACTATAGTGGAAAGTGATAGACAATAAACACGAGTAAATTATATAGCATGTTGGAAAGTGCTAAGTGGTAAGAAAAATGAGGCAGTTGGAACCCACAGTAGAGCAGGAGTCTTAGAAACTGGAGAATGAAGTGAAGAGGTTGGAAAAGTTGATGTTTTTCCTTTCTGGGTATCATTTAACCAGTTTCTCAATATAGGAAATCATTCTTTTCACTTCTGTTCATGTCATCTCTCTCTCTCAAGGAAAAATAATGGAATAACTTTTATTTAAACCAATTGGAGAACAAACGAGTTCATCTGTTGAACTCATTTTGTTTTTAAGAAGAAAATTTCATAAAGACTGATTTTTGTTAATTTTGCAAATACGTAATTTCTACACCCTCTAAACAGGCAAGATTATATCTACTAGAGCTGTCCTATTATCTCTAGCAATGCAAATATCCAGTAGAAAAATTACGCATCCCCAGATCATCCATCCATTCTCTGCACTACAGAGTCACTATTTGTGACTGAAGTTACAAATAACCTCCAAATGCTTAGAGAGCATGCTGTTAAGATTGGGTTCCCAATTTCTTTAATTGGAAACTACAACATAGCAATTATTAAATGTGATAAATTTTCTGTGGTTTAATAGGTGTTTTTATGAACTCCCTTATTAGGGAATATGTGTTGTTTGTCCCCCCTTAATACTAGATGCAGAATAGAGCCCAATAAGGTCCAGCCTACAGCCCCATAATCACTACTGGTCTAGTCATTTCTCAGTATATCTTGAAGAGATTAATTTAGGGATTATGGTTTTATTGGCCAATGAAGTGAGAGAGGAGAGCAAATATGAAAAAGAACAACTCCGTTATCTAAGTTAGAGATTCATTTTATGTATTTGTTTCTCAGAGAGTTGAAATTATGAACTGCAAGCTTTTTTGAAGCATTCATTTAGTATGTTAGACTGTCTCAGAAGTCTGTTAAGTGTCCCCAGAAAGAAAGTAATTAGCAAGTGCTTAAACTGGTTTCTCTTCAAAATTCTATTCTCGTCTTGTTTTTTTCAGATATATGTTAAGAGTCTACCGTCTTGCCATTGTACAAAGGCTTATATGTTAATATATATTTATTAAAATCTAAATTAGGCCCCCAACTTAGAATTGTGAACATACATGTACTGAGCTCAGTTCTTTGGTATACAAATTTATACCTATGAGTTACAGGTATATACATTTTTTTTTTTTAACGAAATCAGTTCAATGTTCAAACTGACAAGTGCATTTAGAGCTAAAATATGGTGAACTTGAACATCAGAGTTTATTGACTTGTCAGTGCCCTTTAGCCAAAGACTACCAGGAACATATCTGCAGTTAAGTAAAGTTGGGTCTATTGAATTGTTGACACAGGAAGAGCATACACCATGGAGCCTCTAGGTAAGAGGGTGTTAGAAAAGAACTTACTATGGGATTTAGGCTTGTGTCAAGCTCTTTTTAGAGAACATTTAAGGAAGAAGGGCTGTACTCTGAAATACATGTTGTCAGAAAGTGGGAGTAATTCTATGATTGGGTATGTTAATTTTTATTTAGAAGGTAAGAAAAATAGATTGAGGCCAAATCTGTGATTGATAAAGAAGGAGCAGTTACACGAATCAGCCAGGATTTTTGTTTCTTGTGGTTTGGACAATGCTTTTGTTTTTGTCAGGGTTCAGACATCATTATGGAATTGTCTTGTTTTTAATGTGATCCATCACAGTCAAAGAGTAACTTTGCCTAATGTCTGTTAACAAGAGAACACCACAGCCTTACTGTGAGTTTCAGGCCAACAGCTAACATCACCAGAACCAAGCCAGTTCCCAGCTGTCTAGGGCTGTTTTTTCCTTTCTCAAACTTCTTTTTCGAGTTTAATATTCCTCAACATTTATAATATTTAAGTAGTATATTTAATAGCAATTAATATAAGTATATTTAAATAATATATTTTAAGATTTAAGATTTCTTCTGTAGTGGAGTAGATTCTGTATTTCCCATATTTTTGTTGCTCCAAAAAGTTATTAGTTCTAACTATAATTTTCATAATATTAGAATAAAATTAAAGTCTAAAATATTACATTTTGCCTAAATTACTCAACTTTTTGATAGATATATGTTTTCAGCCTGCATCAAAACTTATACCCAATGCTAAAAATTTAAAAGAATTTTATTTTACAGCAAACATCAAATCAGACGCAAACAGATTCATTATCTCCATCCCCTAATCCTGTGTCACCTGTGCCTTTGAATAACCCAACAAGTGCCCCAAGATATGGAACAGTGATCCCTAATCGCATCTTTGTAGGAGGAATTGACTTTAAGGTACCTATTTATGTATGCAACGTAGTGTATTTTTTGCATTAGAAGTTATTTTATTTCTCAGAACTACTTTGTACAACTACAAAAATAATAATATTTACTAATTGCATAATGATTAGTAGGTTTCACATTGTCTTACTATAAAGAATCTTCTCAATAACAATGTAGGTTAAATAGAACATATATAATTGTCCAATTTCACATACAAGGAAATTGAGGCTCATTGATGTATCTACAGGCTCCTAGCTTCTTAGTGACAGAGTGAAGACTAGAATCCCAGTATTCTGACTCATAGTTTCATATTCTTTACTTCACCATACCACACTAATTATACTTTATTACATAGTATTCCAAAAGACCAAATAATGTATGACTATAATTTTAAAAAAAGATTCAATATTTTAAAAAACACAAAATTTAGTCCTATGAAATCCTATTTCTTTATCCCAATTTTACTGTCAGGTTCCTACTAATATCCTGAACTTCCATCTTTCACAAATTCCTTTCTGCCACCTAATTTAGAATTTGATCACCAAAAAAAAGGCCTGTGACCTTATCAGAATAAAGCATCTTCACATTAATATATTTTAATTATGTAATCAGCCATTTCACCATTTCAGAGAGGCTTAGTTTGTTGTTGTTGTTGTTGTTAGATGTTTTGCAGCACCATTTGGGAGATAGTAGTAAACACCTCTAGGAAAGGCCTGCATGGCTATTTTGAGTAGAATATCCTACTTCCAAGTGGATATGTAGAAGGATTTCCAAGCTTCCATTTTATATACTGGAAATTACAGGGATAGTTGTTTTTCTTAATTAAAAAAAAATCCTTGTGCCATTAGGGTATGAAATTTATTACTCACTATTTCCCTGTAATCAGTCTTTCACAATTTGGATGAAATTACTTTTTTTCTGCTCAAGAGAAATGTTACACTTAACTGTATTTGTCAGAATAATGATTCTTAAGCAAGTATGTGATTGGTTCACTAAAAATAAAGAAAAATTATTTCTAATGAAATCTTTATTTTTTTAGAAAGATTTTCTGTTTCTATGAAAAATATTAATGGCTGACCATAAATATTCAAGTTGAGTATTCATGTTCAGAATTAATTTATATTACAAACAGTATATTTTTTAAATAAATCTTCAATAAATGGAAACATTTGTATGGCTAGGTTATTCTAGGTTACTGAATTCTGTCAACTACATTATGAACTTTGGAGGCCATTGTAACAATGCAGTTATAGCTTTCAGGTAATTGCTAGGGTTCCCTCCCTGATACTTATCCCTTTTCCAAAACCAGACAAATGACAACAAGGAAATAGTTTACTGTAGTAGCAAGCTGTGTCAAATTTTGTAAAACTTTTCTTTTTAGAAGCTTATAGCCCATCCCTCTTCATACTTAATCATCTTAACTGTCTCATTTTTCAACTAAGAAGTAGAGCTGCAAAATTGAACTAGTGATTCTATCAGAGAATAGTTTGAATTAATTTGTTTTCGAATCTCTAATAAAAATTCTTATTCTGGCACTGCTTCCATTTTCAGTTTATTGAAATAAGAGGTATTTAGTTATTCTTATATTAATTCAGTATTTGTCATCATCCAGTTTAGTAGCTTTAGGTTACCAACTAATAGCTTATACTGTATGTAAGTAGTGAGGTAGCAGGGGAACTCAAGAGGCATAGCCCCACTATTAGGCATGTCTTTTTCTGTGTATATAAAGAAAATTTTTTTCTAGGGATATTTAAAGTTCCCCATGGCATAGTTATACCTGAGCCAGAAAATGAAATTGCAATGAATTTAGTGTGAATACTCTAGGAAAAGGTGATATGAGTCTATTAAGAGACTATTTCAATTAAAACCATCTTTGTAGATATCTTGTACATAATACTCTAATAATGACTCAGATTTTTATTTTGAATATCATAATGTCATTATTTAGCTAAAATGTATATTGAGTACAGATAAACTATCTAAAAACTTTAAATCTTGTAGCCACTTCATTGGTATCACAAACTGAGTTCAAGTACTTTTGGAAATATATTCCTTTCCTAAGACCTTACTCTTCCTGGAGACTGCATATTAAAATAGAGGGACTGGTATATATTGCCAACATTCTAGTTCCACTGCCATGATCGTGAGCCTCTCTGAGCCATAAGAACCAATAGTAATATGCCCTTACTATAGTTACAGCCATGCCTGATTCAAACTATTTTTTTAAAAACTGGCAAAAAGAATTTCTTTAAATATTAGTGGACTTTCTTTGTAGTTTTAAAGTAATTCAGCTTAAAAATTTTTTATTGATTATAATAGTTTAATAACATAGTTACTGCATAAAGCAATGTATTTACATTGATTTTAATAATTTAGTGGTTTATATACTGTTTTTATGTTAAGAGGCATTCTTATATTCATATTACTCTTTGCTTATAATCCTTTTTGTCTCCAAAACAAACATAAGACTTGTTTCATTTTTTAGCAATTTAAATATTTTTTGTGTTTTTCTTTTATGCCATTAGACAAATGAAAATGATTTAAGAAAGTTTTTTTCCCAGTATGGGTCTGTAAAAGAAGTGAAGATTGTAAATGACAGAGCTGGAGTGTCCAAAGGGTAAGTATCACTATAGAAAGTACATAGAATTAACAATTGTGTTTTTATTGGATTACTAGGTTTTATATGCTAACTTACTTTGATTCCATTTTTTAAAAAGAGAATTTCATACCCTCTTCTTTTCCTCTTACCTTTAATCTCCCATTTCGTGTGTGTGTGTATTTTGGAGGGAGGGGGGACACTGTAACAATTCCTTAATTTGTTGGGAAGTTATTATTCTTGCATAGGCTGAAGGACCATTCAATGTTAGATAGCAAGCATTTAATGTTGAGTAATGTACAGTAGCTAAGGAACCAAAAGCTAAAGGAATCAGATATTTTTGGAATTGTGTGCTTGCTTTAGACTAGAGAGAGCTTTATTTGAGAAAAGCTGGCAAAAGGAATGTCTGTAGGTTTTGCCTCAGAGACCTAGTTAAGGAACTAACCTGAGAAATACAACTTTAATGAGAATGGTTTTTAATTCCCAAATCAAAGAGAATGAAAACTGAGAAGAAATCAGCAGGATTTGTCTAAAAATCACTAATGACCTTAGAGCTGTTCCAGTGGATTGGTATATGCAAAAGCCAAATTTCAGAGAAGAAAGAGGTAGTTTACATAGTGTACTCACTTAAGAAGTTTGACAGTAAAGTTAAAGAAAATGGGTAAGACAGTGGAGATCAGTGAAGGATTGTGTTTGTTTTCTTGAAAGAGAGGTAAGACATATATATTTATAGACATAAGAGAAAGGAAGGACTAGTGAGGTGTATAGAAAATTATACTAGTGTGGGAAACCACATTTAAGTATGTCAGATAAGCACTTTGGAAGAGATGGGATTCTGCAGAGAGGTTATTTTTAAACAATTGAGATACTTCCTCAGACTGACAACCAGTATTAGGATGAAGTGAGATTGTACCTCTTGTATTTGGTTAATAGAATTTACAATATTTTGGTAATATCCATTTTTTTTACCGTTGAAAAACACATAGAAAAAGAAAAACACATAGAAATGTAAACTGTATTTTATGCCTTTTCCACTGGGTGGTGTATGTGTTCTACCAAAAAATTTAGCATAAAAATATTTCCTTAGCCCTTGTTTAGTGTTTGGGCAAATAGAAAAAAGAGAAATTCCTTTGTTTAAAAAAAAAAAAACTTTTTTATACAATAGAGTAATTATGAATCAAAATAGTAATCAAGATATATAACACTACTGTAGTTTCCTTAAGTTATCTAAATAGAAATTATGCTGGGGGGGATATACTTTTTCTTTCTTTCATATCTTTTTGTATATTTTGGCTTTTTGGATATTGCATACATAATATAATTGTATCTGGAACATTATATGAATTGTACTCTGAAGGTAACAATTATATATGAAAAGCAGATATAAAATCTGGGATGTACATATTTTTAATTGATTTATGTTTGGGAAATACTAATAATTGCATTATCAGTTTATATGTGCTAATAATAAATAATACATCTATATACTCATTTGCCAATGTAAAAAATTTTATTGTGTTGAAATTTTTATTTTTTTAAAGTTTTTTTTCCTACTCTGATTCTTATTTAAGCTAAACTTCTCTTCTGTACTAAAATTTATTGTATCCTAATTTGTAAGCTAGGACATGAATCCTTCATGCTTTCCTGCCTTGTATACAGCTCAGATATGGAACTGTTTTAAGATCCTGGGTTGTTTTTTGTTTTTTTTTTTTCTTTTAGTGTCCCAACTCTAGCAGGAGGTGACCGTATTCTCTGAATTATACTCTTAAATTTTGCATGATGGTGCTCCATAGAAAACTGCTCATTCCTACAGTGGCCCATTCTTAAAAAGAAATTGAATTTTAATATAACTCTAATGTTCTAAGAAAATAATTAATGTATTTATTTAGGTATGGCTTCGTCACTTTTGAAACACAGGAAGATGCACAAAAAATTTTACAAGAGGTAAGATCTTTTGATGTATTTAACTTCATTTTTTGGACCTTCTTTGAAACTAATCCTTTAGGATATCTTTTTTATTATTATCACTACAGTACAATGATTGATTGTTGGAAAAAAATTTTAATTTATTTGCATCTCAAGATTGACATTGGTCTCCAAAAAAATTGAATTAAAAAAAGATTAAACAGGGGCTCCTGGCTGGCTCAGTTGGTGGAGTGTGCAACCCTTGATCTTGGGGTTGTAGGTTTGAGCCCCACGTTGGGTATAGCGATTACGTAAAAATTAAGTCTTTAGGGGCACCTGGGTGGCTCAGTTGGTTAAGCAGCTGCCTTCGGCTCAGGTCATGATCCCAGGGTTCTGGGATCGAGCCCTGCATCGGGCTCCCTGCTCCACAGAGAGCCTGCTTCTCCCTTTCCCTCTGCCTGCCACTCTGCCTACTTGTGCTCTTTATCTCTGTCAAATAAACAAATAAAAAATATCTTAAAAAAAAAATTAAGTCTTTAAAAAAAAAGATTAAACAGAAATTTTATCTACAGAAAAACAAATTCCAGATTATTGCATGAGTATGTTTGCGAAGTTGTAATATTTTTTTCTTTATTTGCTTACTAAGAACTTGGGTATATATGTTTTCTGAAGCGTTAATAGCACTTTGAATTCCTAAAAACACTACAAACATGGATTCCTAGAGTGAAATTATCTGAGATTATTTCCATCCTTTCTGAAAAACTTTATATAAGCTAAGAACATTCATAGAAAAAATCTATAGCCTGAAGTTCAGTGTAATAACTTTAAATTTGACAAATGTTACATTTAATTTTTTTAGGAAAAAATAGTTTGAATTGTACATTATTAAATCACATGCAGCTGATCTTCATTATTCATAGTAATGTTCTATAAAGTCACCATGAACACTCAATTAGCAAATATTGGAACTGTTGCTCCTAGAAGAAATACAAGGTTCCCACAAGTTTCTGTTTACATTATTTTCATCAACCAATCAATACATAACTTTGTTTTATGTGTGTTTCTGTTTAAAGACATCATGTTAAACATATATTGTTGATTCATTAACATTGAACTCCTGGCCAACAGCACTATAACTCATGTATGAATTAAGCCCATCCAAAACATTTTCTCCATAAGGTAAATGACAGTCTTCTTGTGCTTAGGAACATTAGCCAGCACTTCAACACTACACTTGAGGGCCATTTTAAATAGCAAATTAAAAAAAAAAAAAAAAGATAGCAAAATCACCAACATAAAACACAAAAATGCAAAAAACATGGCACTAACAACATGAAATAGACTCTTGTTTAAGAGCTGAGACAAGAAGAGAGAGTGTTGCCTTGTTTGACCTCAGCCTGGGACTGTGTATGTCAGGCAATTCAAAATTTTCACCTCTCTGCTCATGTCCTCTAGTAACCACTAAATTGCCACAGGTATTGATTTTGGGGTTACAAATAATTTTAGTGAATAGGTGAATTTCCAAATATGGGATCTATGAATAGAAGATTGACTGTATTCCAGTTAAAGAACTGGGGTCAGAGAATTGGAACCAAGATTCAAACCCAGATCTTTTAATATCCAAAGACTATGCCCTTTCCAGTATTCCTTGCTACTTTCAAAAAATGTTGTAATGTGAATTTTAAAAATTGTTTCTTACTAATTTTTCATTATTGGTTTTATAAAACAGTAGTACCAAGATAATAAAATATTTTTTCTTATTTTAGGCTGAAAAACTTAATTATAAGGATAAGAAACTGAACATTGGTCCAGCAATAAGAAAACAACAAGTAGGAATCCCTCGTATGTATTGAGAACTAATGTATTTTTCAGTGTTTTTGCATGGTTCTTTTTTGAAATATTAGACTTTTTCAAGAACTTAATTAAAATATCAGGCTTCTGTCAGCTAATAAGGTTATTTTAGCAAAGTTGGTGATCAAATGAATATTTCTTACCACAAATTAATATATGTTAGATTTGGGGGGGCAGGGAAAATTTTACACAAATAATGGTGCTTACATATATTGCATATAGTTACACCTTTAAAGGAAAACTCCTCTACATAAAAATATAATTTAAAATTGCAAAGGTAATTAGAAGTATTTTGGTACTACTCTTTAGAAGTTTTCTAAATAGAAAGGTAATTTAAAATTAGAAATTGAAGATACTGAAAGTAAAAATATAGAACCAGTATCAGAAACTCTAGTTGCATGGTAGGTACTGTAGCCCAACTAGATATGTCATAATTATGAGGGAACAATTCCTAAAGCTTTAAGAATTGGCAAAGTTGTGCCTTCCTCAAATTTCTGTAATGCTGCCAACTCTACTCTTCTTTTTTTCTCACTCTTCCTATTTATTATATTAGGCATCTTCACAGTTAGCTTTTTACCTAAATATTTATTAAACTCTATAATAGTCTTTGGCTAGAAGAAGATACCCAAAATTAGTAACTAAATTTTCTTATTCTTCCTTAACTGTGCCCTAGAATCTACTGGAATGTTTAAAATATTAGGTGGTTATTGTGTATCTGTTAACAAATTAATGGTTGTGCTCATTTGGACTGTTCTATTTTTGACTTAGAAATTAACAGTTATAGGGGTGCCTGGATGGCTCAGTTGGTTAAGCGACTGCATGCCTTTGGCTCAGGTCATGATCTCAGGGTCCTGGGATGGAGTCCCGCATCGGGCTCCCTGCTCAGTGGGGAGCTTGCTTTTCTCTCTTCCACTCCCCCTGCTTGTGTGCATGCTCTCTCTCTCTCTGTCAAATAAATAAATAAAATCTTTTTAAAAAAGAAATTGACAGTTACCAAGTTTAATTTTGACTTAGTTATTTGTTCATTTAGAAGATAACTGAAGTGTCCTTAGTAGGTTAATACTTCTTGTTAGTTCCAAGAGTTAAGCTGTAACATGTAGTAACAGTTCTATACTACTAGCAGTAGGTATAAGTAGTAATGTTCATATTATGACCCATAAGTTGCATTAAAAAAGAAAAACCATAAATTACCATGCTGAATGCTTTCAAACAGACAGTAAATTTGAGAAGTATAGGGTTAATAACTTAACCAAATGGTAGCATTAGCCTTCAAATCCAGGACAGGTTGACTCCAAAGCTATTTATACTTTTCTTCAAATAAATATTAAGTATAAAAGTAGATTTACAAAATACGGGGGATTTTTATCTCAATTTTTTCTCAAATCTATCTCTTTTTCCATCTCCATTACCAACATTCTAGTCCTAGCTACCCAACTTGCTTGCCTTGATTACTGGAAGAGCCTCCTAACAGGTCTTTCTGAATCCAGTTTTGGTACCTTCCAACATCATATACAAGGCAGCCAGAGTGATCTTTCAGAAGTGTACATTTTCTATTATTCTCTGCTTATTTTGAGCTGTTCTTTCCTTCTCTTCCTATACTTTAGCCATCTAGCCTCCTCTCAGTTCCAGAACATACCATACTGCTGAAATACATTATTTTCTTTACCTAGAATGCTCTTTGCAATCCCATTCCCATCCCAATCTTTTTTTTTTTTTTTTAGATTGGGCATAGAGCCCAATGCAGGGTTGAATTCACAACCCTGAGATCAAGACCTGAGCTGAGATCAAGAGTCAGATGTTTAACTGACTCAGCCACCCAGGTGCCTCCCAATCATTCTTTAAAGCTCAGCCCAAACATCATTTCTTCACAGATTAAATACAATTGGAAAGTTCATACTATGAGTGTAATACCCTATACTACCTCTTAATGTATTTATCAAAATTGTATTTAATTAATTAAATTGTGTAATAAGCTAATAACTGTTTTCCCCACCAGAACCTAACTTCCACATGGCATGTCCAATTTTTTTTCTTTTTTCTTTTTGGCTGTATCACCAGCCAAGTTCAATGCCTTGTAATAGTACTGACTCAAAATTTATTCATTTACTTAACAGATAAACCTGTGGCTCCTTGAGTATCTTTGAAGGGAAATCCATGAAACTCCTGAATTGTGTGCAAAATTTTGTTTGAATGTATATATCTCTGAGAAAAGGGTCCATGGTGTTCATCAGATTCTCAAAAGGATGGGATTAAGAATCACTAACATAAGCAGTAACAATACTAGATGAAATATAGTGAAAATATAAGCTCAGAAGCAGTAGTGCTGCTTAAAGCGGTAGGTCAGTGCTACTCACAGTGTGGTTTGCAGCCAGTAACAGTTCAGTTGGAATCTGTCAAAATGCAGATTCTCAGGCTCTATCCCAGACTTACTGAATCTAAATCTCTGCAAATGTGGCCCTGGAATTTGTATCCTTATAATAAACTATCTAGGTGATTCTTATGTATGTTAAAATTTGAGAATTACTGGTATAGTGGAAGGAGGATTGCCAGTTCCAGTAATTTACATAAACTTGCTGGTCAGTACTTAATCTGACTTGGCTTTTATATAAATTTTTCAAGTGTTATCTTGACAAAAAAATATTTTTTTATTTTGGGGGAGGGAGGGGTTATATATAACTTGATCTGAGAAAAGAGATGGGGACCTAGAACTACACATGAAGATTTGTGGTCATGTTTGCAATAAGCAGCAGTTGTTGCAAAGGGAGGCTGGAGAGTAAGAGTCATAGCCTCAATGAATGCTTGTGATAGTAGATCCAAAGAATTTTAGGATGGAACCAAAATTCTTCAGGAAAGTATGGAATCTTTTCCAACTTCACTGCCTTCATCATCTTTGGCCTTTTACAAATAAAGTTGGGTTTTTTTTTAAGATTTTATTTATTTATTTGTCAGAGAGAGAGCACAAGCAGGGGGAGCAGCAGGCAGAGGGAGAAGCAGGCTCCCTGCCTGAGCAGGGAGCCCAGTGTGGGGCTCTATCCCAGGACCCCAGGATCATGACCTGAGCTGAAGGCAGATGCTTAACCAACTGAGCCACCCAGGCGTCCCTACAAATAAAGTTCTTACTAAGGTCTTAGGAACTTCATTACAGTGTCTATAGTCTTCAGTTAACTCATATATAATGTATATTTGTAAAAATAATGACCTTGCTGATAATAATTTAAATTTTTAAGCCTTGTGTTTGATTACATTGTTATTAAAATCTAAATTGGTGAATCTTTAGTATTCTGTTTTTAAGATTTTATTTATTTATTTGACAGAGAGGGGGAGAGAGAGCAGGAGCAGGGAGGAGGGGCAGAGGCAGAGGGAGAAGCAGACTCCCCACTGAGCAGGGAGCCCAATGTGGGACTCGATCCCAGGACCCTGAGATCATGTCCTGAGCCGAAGGCAGCCGCTTAACTGACTGAGCCACCCAGGCATCCCAATTTTTAGTATTCTTTATTGAACTTATTTCTTTTTCTTTTATTCACTTTAAGCTAATAAAAGCTCTAAGAGAGTGAGTTTGAAAATACATACTTCGAAAATAACGTATGGGATTTTTTTTAATTTGTAACATTCAGTTTTTACTGTAACTATATAGGTGTGTTAAGATAAACATTTTCAAGTGTCCAGAAATTACCTTTTTAAAAGTTAAACTGAACATTTTAATTATTATTATTTAATCTTTGCTTTAGGTTCCAGTATAATGCCAGCAGCTGGAACAATGTATCTAACAACTTCAACTGGATATCCTTACACTTATCATAATGGTGTTGCTTATTTTCATACTCCAGAGGTAACTTCTGTCCCACCACCTTGGCCTGTAAGTAATTTTCATCTTAAAAGGGTTTCCATCTATTCTATCAATTTTTTAAAACATTTATTTCTGAAATATTTCAACCATAGACAAGTACAAATAATAATATAACAGCCATGTAGCTACCACTTAAATTTAATAAATGTTAACATTTTGCCATATTTACTTAAGTTCTTTTAATAAGGGGAAATGAAATATGAGAAATTCAGGCAAAGTCTCCTTGCCCCCATTTTCTTACCACCTTTTTCTCCTCAGACATATCCAGAATATGTAACCAGAATATCTTTCCTATCACTTTATGTTTTTACTACAAATGTAGGTATCCTTAAACAATAGGTAGTATTGCTTTGGGTGATTTTTAAACACTATGTAAATATTAGTTGTTTTTTTTTTTTAAAGATTTTACTTATTTATTTGAGAGAGAGAATGAGAGAGAGAGAGCACATAAGACGGGGGAGGGTCAGAGGGAAAAGCAGATTCCCTGCCGAGCAGGGAGCCCGATGCGGGACTCGATCCCGGGACTCCAGGATCATGACCTGAGCCGAAGGCAGTCGTTTAACCAACTGAGCCACCCAGGCGCCCTGTATTAGTTTTTCTATTCAACATTATGTTTTGGAGATTAAGCCATGTTGATACTAGTATATCTAATTCACTTATTTTAATATTTTATAATATTCCATTGTATGAGTGTATATTCCCCTATTGATGGACATTTTAAGTTTTTTTCTGTAATCAAGACTACAGTGAACATCCAGATCTTGTATGTATTATGTGAGAATTTGTCTAGGAAAGTAGTCTTCAAAGTTTTTCGCTTGTATATCCTCTAAACATTTTCTGAAAAATTATGAATACTCATTTTTAAGTTGATATCTGAAATTTATCATAATTTTAAATAATTTAGGAATATAACATATTATGTAGGTTGTATACCTAAAACTAATATAATGTTATATGTCAGTTATACCTCAAAAAAAAAAGGATAAAAAATGTCTAGAACTCTGTTAACAAAACTAGTCAGCCAAATAAAACTAATCAAATAAAACTTCATTTCTATTAGAAAATTCTAACTTTTAATTATTTTTAAGTTCAAATAAATACATTAATATGTATTCCTATAACCATGATGTAACTTATTTTGTTCCCTGGATGAAATAAGGAACTATCTCCCCTTTAATATTTCTTATACAAGCTCTTTTTGCTTTGCTTCTCTCATTTCTCAAGGGCATTGCCTTCTTGAATTATCTATTTGTTTGATGCCCTGTTGGTATTCATATTCCCAAACAAAGCATTATAATAGATCCAGAATGAGTGAGAAGTGTGCCTTTCATCATGAAGGAGAATGGTAATTGTGAAAGGGAGTTCTGAAAAGAAGACAGACACATGGTACACAGACGCATTCACAAGCAGATCAAATCAGGAAGGAGTACATATGAAATTTATGAATACTCCTAATTTTCATAAATATATTATGAATACTCCTAAACCTATTCATGCCCATGTACCACTGGAAAAATTCTGTATTCCCCTGCCTTGGTCTAGGCTACAATATATGCATAGAAGTAAAATTTCACATTATAGAATATACACATTTTTTACTAAATGTTGCCAAATGGCTTTCCAAAGTATACCAGTTTACACTTTAGCTAACAGTTTATGAGAGCTCCAGTTTCTCTGTAATCTACCAACCATTTAATTTTAAATTTTTGCCAATATTATTATGAAATAGTATTTTGTTTTTTTATCTTCCTAGTCATTGGTAAGATTGAACATATTTCAGGTATTTATTGGCCATTCCACTTTTCTTCTGTGAGGTGCCTCTTCATGTCCTTTATCCTTTATCTTTTTCTATTGGGGTTATTTGTCTTTTTCTTGAATTCATTATATGAATTTTGTGAGTTCTTCTGGTGTGTGGTTTGTCCATTAACTTTACAGGTTTTTTTGGTCATATACTAATTCTTTGTTTTAATGTTAACAAATGTATTAATGTTTTCCTTTATGGAAATGGTTTCATCTTTTGGTCTCTTATTTTTAAAATAAAACACTTCCAAAAAAAGAATAAAAAATTTTAAATTAAAAAAACACTTCCTTATTACAATATAGATATTCTATATTTTATTTTTAAAATACTATGGTATTGCTGTTTTTCACATCTAGATCTTAAATCTGGAGTTCAGGTATTGACTAATCCATCCTCTTTCATTATTTTGAAATGAATCCTCTATGAAATGCCACATTTGGGGGGAGTTTCTTCTGGGCTCTCTATTCTGTTGCATTGGTGTGTTTGCCCTGCCCAATTCTGTTTTAATTCCTCCTGCTTTAGAACAAGTGCTGAAATCTGATAGGGCAGTCCTGTCACGTTTTTCTTCAGGAGTCTCTCATCTATCCTTAAGTCTTTACTTTTATAAATATAAATTTTATAATCCAGCTTGTTCAATTCTGTGAAAAGCCTTTGTTGGATTTTTATTAGAATTGCATTAAATGTGTAGATTAATTTGGGCATAATACTGAATTTTACCATCCACAAACATTTATTTAAATAGGTCTGTTATTTCCATCTGTCAATAAAATTTTCTTTCTCCATAAAATAGTTTAGCACATCTTTTGTTGGATTTATTCTTAGGTACTCTGTGGTTTCTGTTGCTTTTATTATGGTATATTTTTAAATCATACTTCCCAATAGGTTGTGACTTGTATGTAATAGTGCTTTTTTAAATGTTGACATTTGATCAGTAACCCTCCAAAACTTTCATATAGACAGTCATTTATGATTCAGTATACTTCTGTTTCTTTCTGCTCTTTTCTCATTTTTTCTCCATTGAATTACTGCACCAGCATGGTCTCTGCTGTAGTATTTATATGATAACATGACCTTGTTCTTGAAAAAGGAAACAAATTCAGTGATTCATGATTAAGCTTTATATATACTTATATAAACTTTATATATACCGTGTATATATTTATTTATACACTGTAGGTTTTGGAAGATAATCTTAGCCATAACCAAGGTTTCTCAGCCTCAGCACTATTGACATTTTGGGCCAGATGATTCTGTGTTGTTGGAGGCTAGTCCTGTATATGGTAGGATGTTTAGCAGTGTCCTAGTCTCCCCACATCTATAAAAACCAAAAGTATTGCCAAATGTTCCCTAGAGGGGCAAAGTCACACCTGATTGATAATTATTGCCCCAAATCAATTAAGGAAATTATTTCATATTCTGTTTGCTAAGAATGAAAGAGTATTGAATTTATCATGAAAGGGTATTGAATTTTAATAAATCTTTTTCTCTATCTGCTGAGATTTTTTTTCCTCCTTTAATCTATTAATAAAAAATAATATAGTAAATTATATTATTCTTTTCTAATGTTAATCTGTGGTATAATTTTATTAACATATAGTCTGAAAATTGTGCAAAACTATGATACTTTTCTTCATTTTGCAGAGGGGAGGGAGTGACATTAAAGCAAAACAGTGTAAAGTACATCCCATGTTACAAATTGAATTTTAATTGCTATCATTAAAGCTTATTTTACCTATCTTATAATACAATTTGCCTGCTTTATTAATGGTCTGGTTTTAAATAATCTATTTTGAGGTTTACTCTAGTACTTTGAATAATGAAGTGTTATGCATACTTTCTTCAAACAGAGAAGTCACTTAAAATTTATTTTCATTTAAATATCAAATTAAGGGTGCCTGGGTGGCTCAGTTGGTTAAGCGACTGCCTTCGGCTCAGGTCATGATCCTGGAGTCCCGGGATCGAGTCCCGCATCGGGCTCCCTGCTCGGCGGGGAGCCTGCTTCTCCCTCTGACCCTCCCCCCTCTCATGTGCTCTCTGTCTCTCTCATTCTCTCTCTCAAATAAATAAATAAAATCTTTAAAAATAAATAAATAAATAAATAAATATCAAATTAATAAAATAGGATTTGATAAATGCTTCAATAAGTAATATATTTGACTTAAATGTATAACAAAGGAGTAGGATTTAATTATTTGTAAGCAGTGGGAAATCAGTGGCAAATCAGATATGATTATTCATTCAGTTCTATGTTGTGTAAATATTATCTACTGCTGGTCTGATGATGGAAGTAGGCAGTGTCACCTTAAGTCCAGCTGCCATTTTCTTTTAAAAATTCTCTTAGAACTATATTTTCATATTCTTTGGACTAAAAGCAACTTTTCTGGTGGTTGTTTTAGCATTACCATGAAAATGAAACCAAAGAAAAGTGGGAATACTGTGGTGATTTTAGTCGACTTACGTGGAATTAGTAATAATATCAATAAGAGGTAGAAAAATGACATTTCCAATTATAGACCATAAGTTGACTGGGTTTAGGTAACAATTCAAGATAAATTTTATAACAAACTATTTTAAAGAATTTTGCCTAGGCCTAAAATAATTTTTCAATTTTTTTCCCTCTTATAGTCACGTTCTATATCTAGTTCCCCTGTGATGGTAGCTCAGCCAGTTTATCAGCAACCTGCATATCACTACCAGGTAAACATGAAATTACAATGAAAATTCTCTTTAAAAACTGTCAGTCCTTTTTGGGTAAATTTCACTGTATTCTTTCTCATGCAAATACACTAATAATTAAAAAGAGATAGTTAAGCCTTGATAGCAGTGTTGGGTTTGTTTTTTTTTTTTTTTTTTCTTTTCTTTTCTTATGGGGAACTAAACAATATCATACAAGAAGATGGGATGTTTGCTTCATTTAACCAAATGTAATGAGGTTGGTTTTGCTCCCCTGGCTAACATTTAATCTAAGAAGTTTTTAGAAATAATTCCCAAAGAAACATACAGATAACATACTGGATCACAGGCTGATTTTTTAATGTTATTGTTAACATTATGTCACTTTCTTGCTATTATATTTAACATAATCTATATTAAAATAAGTAATATATTATGGTTTATATTATGGCAGCCTCTTTTAGTTAACCAGTACTCTTCATTAATTCCTGTGGGAGACTGGAATGCCAGACCATTTTGGTGTTTTATAAATAAATAAATATATTTTTATATATATTTTATATATATATATATATATATATATATATATATAAAGAATATTTGTTGATATACTGTCTGTGGCTGCTTTTGTACTACAATGGCAGAGTTCAGTACTTGCAACAGGATATTATGGTCTGCAAAGCTGAAAATATTTACCCTCTGGTCCTTTGTAGAAAAAGTTTGCCAACCTCTCATCTCTTGCACTCACAAATAAAATCACATTCTTTCCTACCTCTGGAATTGTGGAAGAGAATTTATTTCTGTTTCTTTTTTCTTTTAAACTTTTAAAATAGACCCAGATTAAATGTTAAGTTTACTGGAATTCTTTTTAATATTAGACTGGGTTTTGGGGGGATGGTGGTGTTTAAATTGTAAGTAGAATTTAAGATTTAAATTTATTTAAATTCATTATATTATATGTTAATGTATATTATATATTATTATATTATATTATTTATTTATTTACAAATAAATTTGTAAATCCTATTACCATGCTAAATATAAAACTGAAGTATTTCTTTCACTTACTAAAGATGAAAATAACTTAATGACATATTTAAAATATATATATATTTAAAATATATATATTAAAATAACTTAATGACATATTTAAAATATAACTTAATGACATATATTTAAAATATGTCACTTTCCCTAAGCTGTCTCCAAATTCCGGCAGAAGCCCCAAAGACAGAACATTAGGTACCAGATCTTTTAATATGATAAGCCAAATATTGTGAAACCAGTTGGGGGACCCTTAGCTTATTGCCCACCTTGAGTACACATGAGGGGAGGATGAGATTGCAAGAGAGTTGTTAGAATGCTATGGCATGTCCCCTTCTTCCCAACCAAGTAAAGAAGACATCAGAGAATGACAGAAAACTTAATGTTTGTCCCCTGAAATTTGTGAGATGGTACTTGGACCTGACCTCTCCTAGAAAAGTCCAGAGAGAGAGGTGAAGGGTGGTAGTGGGGGGGGAATAAATTAATTAATTAAAAAGTCCAAAGAAGAAGCTGGACTAGTCTCTGGAGACTAGAAGACTACAGTGAGAATGTGTTGAACTTCTACTCACAACAAGCAAAGGTTTATGCGTCCCCAGAGCAAGATGTGAACCTCACAGAAGAGACCCTTTTCAAAAACTTTAAGGTGATCCCAATAAAGAAAGAACCTGTGTGAAGTAGACTTCTAGAATCAAGGGCTAGAATTGCAGTTAGAAGTTCCCAGGGGGGAGAGGCGCCTGGGTGGCTCAGTAGGTTGGGCGTCTGCCTTCAGCTCAGGTCATGATCCCGGGGTCCTGGGATTGAGCCCCATATCAGGCTCCCTGCTCAGTGGGGAGTCTGCTTCTCCCTCTCCCTCTGTTTCTCCCCCTGCTCATGCTCTCGCTTGCTCACTCTCTCTCAAATTAATAAGTAAAAATCTTAAAAAAAAAAAAAAAAAAGTTCTCAGCAGGAAGATCACCAAAGAATCCAGTAAACTACTTAACTAGAGAGTCAGCATTTGGAATCTGCCACACCCCAAAAAGTGATCCGTCCTAATATTTATCCTGTGGCAAGGAAGAACAGCTCAACACAGTGCTTTTAAAGTGTCAGGGGGTGAGAAAGAATAGAAGTGCTTTCGGCTTGTACCCCATTGAGTCCAGCTCCTCCTTCATTAATTGATTACATACAGCAATAGCTCACTTGACATACCAAATACATTCTTAAAATTTCTAATACAGTTTAATTTTATAGTTTGACTCTGGTGTTCTGTTTGACACAAATTATAAAATTGGAAGTATGTCACCTAGATATTACTCAGGAAAGACTTTGGTACCAATTTATAATATAATATTTTGTAATATAAAAAAATCATTTCACCTCACATATTTCTTTTCAGGTATATATTCATCATTCTGCCTCTGATTAAGAATCTTCTCTTGTTCTTTCTTTTTACAAATTCTAAGATTGGTAGCTTTATCATTTATTAGTCAAATCAGGTAATGCATGGTTTAATTAGTATTTATCTCCATATTTCTCATTTCATGAGTAGTTATTTCATTTATCTAAAAACTATATATAAATCATTTTATTTCAGATTTTTTATTAAAATCTTTTAGGAGATTATTTATTATCCTGCCTGTCTGAATGTAGACTACAGAACATAGACTTCACATTATCTTGGTCATTATAATACAGTGATGTCATCCATTAGCAACTTAAATAGCACTAAATTAACAGTGATTCAGTTTAGATGACAGATCCATGGCATCTTCTTACTCTTTTTTCTGTTTTTTTTAACTTTATAATGAAAAAAGACTATTAAAAATGGAAAATAAAGAATAAAACACATATTATTAAGAAATAATAAAATTAGTTTAAGAAATAAATGTCTGACATATTGTCATTTAAGTTTAAAAAATTTGACCCTCTTTTATTTAACAGGTTTTTGATATATAATTCACATAGCATTCACTTCAGCTTTTTAAAATGTGCAATTGTGTTTTTTACTAAATTCAGAGTTGTATAGCCATACCACAGTCAATTTTAGAACATTTTAATCAACCCTCCTCCCAAAAAAACCTTACCCATTAGTAGTCACTCCTCTTTCCTCCTACTCCCAGCCCTAGGCAACCAGAAATCTATTTTCTGTCTTTATAGGTTTGCCTATTCTGAACATTTCATATAAATGGAATCTACCATAGGTGGTTATGACTGGATTCTTTCACTTAGCATAATGTTTTCACAGTTTATCCATGTGGTGGCATGTATCAGTACTTCATTTCTTTTTATAGCTGAATAATATTCCATTATATGGATATAACACATTTTATCTTTTCATCAAATGACAGACATTTGGGATAGTCCCACTTTTTGTCTGTTATAAATACTACTGTGATCACTCCTGTACAAGTTTTTTTTTTTAATGATTTATCTCCAGATATGACTTCTTTTTTTATTATTATTATGTTATGTTAATCACTATACATTACATCATATATGTTTTCCTTTATCTTAGCCTTATTACCTGGGAGTAGGATCACTGAGTCATATGGTATCTCTATGTTTAAAGTTCTGAGGAAGTGTCATCTTGGTTTCCAAAAGGGCTGCACCATTATACACTCACACCAGCAGTTGATGAGGATTCTAATTTCTCCACATCCTTGTCAACACTTATCATCTACCTTTTTAATTATAGCCTGTCTAGTGGTGACAGTGGATATAAAGTGATATCACACTGATTTCCATAAGCTGAGGCCAATAATGTTGAATATCTTTACATATGCTTATTGGCCACTTTTACATATCTTCTTTGGAGAAATATCTATTCATATTCTTTACCCATTTTTAAATTTGGGTTACTTTTCTTTTTATTATTGAGTTATAACACCACTTCATATATTCTAGATGCAAGTTCCTTATCAGATATATAATTTATAAATGTTTTCTCCTATCCTTTGTATTTTCACTTACTTGATGGTATTCTTTGTAGCACAAAAGTTTTTCATTTTGATGAAGTCCAATTTATCTCTTTTCTTTTGTTGCTTGTGCTTTTCATGTCATAGTTTAATTGCCTAATTCAAACCCACAAAGATTTACACATATTTTCTTCTAAGAATTTTATAGTTTTAGCTCTTACATTTAGGTCTTTGACCCAGTTTGAGTTAATTTTTGTATATAGTTAGAGGTTTAGGGATCCAGCTTCATTCTTTTGCATATAGATACTCAGTTTTGACCCTTGTTTATAATCTGGGTGGGTTTTTTGTTTTTGGTTTTCATTTTAGGCCCCTGCACAGTGTCTACCAGGACAGTGGCAGTGGGGTGTTCCTCAGGTAAATATTAACTTTTTTCATTGTGTTTTTGTGAAGACTGAATGAATATTAAAGTCAGGAGAACTAGATTTGAGATATTCCTCTTCTATTTAGTAACTGTGATACCTTTTGCAGTTAATCACTATATTTCTTAGCTTCCTCATTGTAAAATGGAAGTAATGATACCACACCTTTGTAAATTTCTTTATCTGATCTTTGTGAAGATGAGATCATGTAAGTGAAAACATTTTATTAAAAATGAGTACTCATATAAACATAAAAAATTACTTTTTACTATTATGGGAAAATGTATCATTTTTCCAGTTGTACTTCAGATTTTGCTTCAGTTTGACTTGTGCTCCTAAGTAAATAAACTGTCTCTCAACTTTTGATACAAATAGTATACCACCAAAAAGACTATTTAATGACATTTCCCATTTCCATGTGAAGTCACAAAGCTGAGAATAGATGTTTATGCCAACTCAAATACTGTAAGTTATATTATTACAACCTCTTGTAGTGATCTTAATATAACTATTTTCTGAATTTATAAAAGAGTTTCTGAAGCATTAAGAACTTTTAATGTTTACCAGTGATAAAGTTCTTTAGTCACATCTACACAATTGAAATTTGTAATAAAATATATCCATGCTATCCCTGGAAAAGAATTTCAGCAAAATATGAAACAAATATTTCTGTCATCTGTTGGCTAAGTCATTTGGTTTAATTGAAATAACTAATCATGTCTGAATTAGAAATATGGTTTTGTTTTAGTCTCCTGCCTCTTCTGCTCCATTCTTATACCTGCAACCTTCTGAGGTTATTTATCAACCAGTGGAAATTGCACAAGATGGTGGATGTGTTCCTCCTCCTCTATCTCTGATGGAAGCTTCAGTTCCGGAGGTATGTATTAGTCTCAAGGTGATTTATCTATAACTGTCTCATCTGAACATTTATTTCTTTTTCTTTTCTAAAAATATTTAAGACCCTCATGGAAGCTGCACATGCTTTTTCTTTGATTTATTCACACCTTTCCCCTTTTATATGTATCTAAGAATGCTTCATCTTACACTTTTTTACTAACTAGTTCTGAACCATTTCTAAAACCAACTGTTCACTCTACTAGGCTAATCTCTGACTTGATCTCCTCGAAAGAGTAAGATACCAAATACTTCTCTTTCTTCTGGCTTGCCTGTCAATCTGTATTGTTACTAACATTCTGTGAATTAAAAGCATATAAAAATTCAAAAGATCTGGGCGCCTGGGTGGCTCAGATGGTTGGGCGTCTGCCTTCAGCTCAGGTCATGATCCCAGGGTCCTGGGATCGAGTCCCACATCGGGCTCCCTGCTCCTTGGGAGCCTGCTTCTCTCTCTCTCTCTCTCTGTCTCTCATGAATAAATAAATAAAATCTTTAAAAAAAAAAAATTCAAAAGATCTTAAAAACTTCTTCCTTCAAATATGTAAATCAAAAATATTTCATGGGACACCTGGGTGGCTCAGTCAATTAAGCATCCAACTCTTGATTTCAGCTAGGTCATGATCTCAGGGTCATGGGATCAAGCCCCACGTCGTCGGGCTCTGCGCACAGTGAGAAGTCTGCTGGGGTTTTTCACTTTCCCTCTGCCCCTCCCTCCCTCAAATAAATAAATAAATCCTAAAAAATATACTTCATAACTACAAATTGCAAACGCTATCTTCAGTGTCTTTAAATTACATTCCCAAACCATTACTTACCTTACCATCTATGTGCCAAGAACTGTACAGGTATGTTTTAAATCAGTGTTATAAAAGATTAGAAAACTAGCACCCACCTCCCAATTAGGGTGTATTATATTATTTTTTATATTGCTAAGGTTTATAACATTATGATGTTCTGCAACAATAATTTCCACAGTTGGATTTTAATGTTACTATCACTACTTCTACCAGGATTTCTCTGTTTTCATCACAGCCTGCATTCATTACTTGCTTGACTGAATCTGCAAAGTACTCTTTGTTAAAGAAAGCTTGTGGGTGCTGTATTCTCTGAGTTTCTTACATGCCTATTTGTTCAACATTGTTGTCTATAAATCTGAAAGATGGTTACACTAGCTATAAAATAGCTGCATCATACTGCCAGAACAAAGTACCACAAACTGGGTGGCTTAAACAACAGACATTTATTGTCTCACAGTTCTAGGCTCAGAAGTTGAAGATGAAGGTGTTGGCAGGATTGGTTCCATCTGAGGGCCATGAGGGAAGCATCTTTTCAGTCCTCTCTTCTTAGCTTGTAGATGGCCACCTTCTCCTTGTGTCTTCACATTATTTTTCTATCTCTGTGTCCAAATTTCTCAATTTTGTAAGGATAGCAGTCATACTGGATTAGGTTCTATGCTAATGACCATATTTAACTTGATTACCTCTATAAATACCCTGTCTACAAATCAGGTCACACTCTGATGTACTAGAGGTTAGAACTTCAACGTATGTTTTGAGGGAACCAAATTCAACTCTTTTTTTTTTTTTTTTAAGATTTTATCTTTATTTGAGACAGAGAGAGACAGAGCACAAGCAGAGGGAGAAGCAGGCTCCTCTCTGAGCAAGGAACCTGGGATCATGACCTGAGCTGAAGGCAGATACTTACCGACTGAGCCACCCAGGCGTCCCCCAAATTCAACTCTTAACAGTACTATTTTCTTATAGAACTTCTAGTCTACTCTTTTCTGGTGTTGAGTGTAGCCATAAAGAACTTTGAAGCTGGCCTGATTTTCCCCCCGAACATAATTTGCTTTTTCTTCCTGCATGCCTTATGATGTGAGGTGTGTTGTTGTTGTTGTTGTTGTTAAGATTTTACTTATTTATTTGAGAGAGAGAGCAGGGGGAGGAGCAGAGGGAGAGGGACCAGCAAATTCCATGCTGAGCTCAGAGCCTGACACGGGGCTCAATCTCACAATCTTGAGATCATGACCTGAGCCAAAATCAAGAGTTGGGCACTTAAACCACTGAGCCTCCCAGGCGCCCCATGAGGTGTGTTCTTAGTTGTCTTTGCACGTACTATTCCCACCTTCTTTCTCTTAATTCTTCAAGCATCAACTCCACTAGAAAACTTTTTCTGACTACCTCCCCAATTTTCTTAAGCTAAATCAAGTAGTTTTCTTTTCTTCTATATATGTTTCATAGGACTTATGGTAATTTTGACTATTCAACTGTCCCTAATCAGTCTATAAATTAATTAAAGATAGGGAATGTGTTTTCCATTTGTGTTCCTCCATTGTGTAGCAAAATGCCTAGTACATTGCAATGAAAGATAATACATTTTTTTTCTTTTTTTTATAACAGCCTTATTCTGATCATGGAGTTCAAGCAACATATCACCAGGTTTATGCTCCAAGTGCCATCTCTATGACTGCACCTGTGATGCAGCCTGAACCAATTAAAGTAAGAAGTGTGTTTTGATTTTTTATTATTTTTTTTCAGTCATGTTTCAAGTTTTTCAAATTTCTTTTCTGAAAAGAAATAATTTTGGATACTTATATTACATTTGTGATCAGAAGAACAGAATTAGTGAACTCTTTCATGTGAAGAACGTACAACTAAATTAACTATAATTTTTACAGTAGTTTTGAGTAAGTTATAAACCACACATGGTCAAAAATGCTTTATTTACTGTAATAAAATATATATAACTTACAATTTGCCACTTTTAAGTGTATAGCTAAGTGGTATTAATTACATCCATAGTGCTATGCAACCATTACCACTATCTGTTTTCACACTTCTTCATTACCCAAATAGAAAATCTGTACCCATTAAGCAATAACTTCCCATTCTTTTCTCTGTACCAGCCCCTGGTACCCTCTAATCAACCTTTTGTCTCATTGAATTTGCCTAGATATTTCATATACTCAGATTTTGGTTGTGTTAATGGCATATAGCATTTATGGGGAGATGAAATCAGTTAACAATCTACTCTTCCAGTTTGGGAATTGTGCTTGTGCATCCTAAATCAGATGCAGGCCAAAGAGTGAGAATCCAGTTAGATCCATGTATATATTCAATATATTTCAACTCTCTACTATGTAGCAGGGAATTCTGCTTATTCCCTTATGACCTAGTTTCTTAGTGAAACTCTTCATCATTACTTGGAGGAAGTGGACTATATCTGTAAGAACCACAGATTAACTATTGTGATGGTAATATGAATCTTGTTTACAGTGTACTTTGGTAAGGAAAGTAGGCATACTCTACAATAAAATGATGGAGATTAGCTATTTCACATGCGTATTTATTTATGTGTTGGAACTCAGTACGAAGACAGTCTACTTTAAGGAGCCTCTCCCCTCTCATATCCCCTCATCCCGTCACCACTTACCGCATTCCTTCACTGCTCTTACCACTGTACTGCACACATGAAATAAAACCATAATTTGACCTAGTGTCACAGCCTTGAGTGTTCCTAAAATTTATCTATCAAAATCTTCTAAAACAGACTTCCTCTGATGTTAACATTCTCTCCAAATATACTTCTCTAGGAATAGTGAAAAGAGCTTCGCCATATTTAATAAGTACTAGTTTTTTCAGTTACTGATTATATAGATCATATATATAAACACAAATGATTGAAGTTTTACTGCTTGAATAATTCCAAGAGAGGATGGAGTGGTACTTGGGTAGGAGAAATTTTCAAAGGACATTAGGAGAAGGAAGGGAAAAATGAATGGGGGGAAATCGGAGGGAGAGATGAACCATGAGAGACTATGGACTCTGAGCAACAATATGAGGGTTTTAGAGGGGAGGGGTGGGGGTTAGCCCAGTGATGATTATTAAGGAGGGCACCTACTGCATGGAGCACTGGGTGTTATATGAAAACAATGAATCATGGGTCACTACATTAAAAATTAATGGTGTATTGGGGGGCCTGGGTGGCTCAGTCGTTAAGCGTCTGCCTTCGGCTCAGGTCATGGTCCCAGGGTCCCGGGGTCCTGGGATCGAGCCCCACATTGGGCTCCCCGCTCTGCAGGGAGCCTGCTTCTCCCTCTCCCACTCCCCCTGCTTGTGTTCCCTCTCTCACTGTGTATCTCTCTGTCAAATAAATAAAATCTTTAAAAAAAAAAAAAAAAACTAATGGTGTATTGTTGACTAACATAACAAAATAAAATTTAAAAAATAAAAAATAAAATTTTTTAAAAGAACGTTAATGCTACACATTTTTAATTTAAAGTTTAATTCCTCTAGTTTAAGAGTAAACACTTTCCTATATTTTCTTAAATCTATGAGTAGGAAATGACAAATTATACAGAGAAACTGCTATCTTACTCTTTAGTCATATAGAAAGTACACATATGTTGAATATAAATCATAACAGAGGCATAGATATCTTTCTTTGTGCATATAAGCTTACAACTGGAACTAGTAACCTGCCTCTTCATTCTAGAGAAATGCTGCTAAAAGGGACTTCACCCCTTCTGTCCTGATACAGATCTTTGCTCTATCATGCTGCAGACCAAAAGGGAACAAAACTACTGACTTGTTTCAATTTGGAATTTAATCTGTCTCATTTAGGGTTAAATAATTTTGGTAATCACATGGGCTACATCCTAGGGAATATTTTAGTCCTACCCAAGTTAAAATTTAAAGAATAGGGAAGAGTTGAAGAGTTATGAACTATACTTAACTAGCTTACTCCAAAGTATCTGGGCACTTGAACTATTATGCTTTTAAGATCAGTATCAAATCCCTAGGTAAGAAGGGTTTAAGTGGAAAATTATAAAGTGTTTCTGTTTTACAGTGTTTTTCCATTTTTGCATTAATATAAGTATCTAATAAATTCGTTCCTATGAGAATTAACTGAGATACTGGAAACTGAGGAAATTATAATTTGAAGTTAACCTTTAAGTTAAATGTTCATTTTATGAACTCTTGCCATTTGCAACGATGTGGATCGAATTAGAGGGTATTATGCTAAGCGAAATAAGTCAATCAGAGAAAGACAATTATCCATGATCTCACTCATATGTGGAATTTAAGAAACAAAACAGAGGATCACGGGGAAGGGAGAAAAAAATAAAACAAGATGAAATCAGGGAGACAAACCATAAAAGACTCCTAATCACAGGAAACAAACTGAGGGTTGCTGGAGGGGAGGGCGGTTGGGGGATGGGGCTACTGGGTGATGGACATTAAGGAGGGCATGTGATGCCATGAGCACTGGGTATTATATAAGACTAATCACTGACCTCTACCTCTGAAACCAATAATACATTATAGGTTAATTAATTGAACTTAAATAAAAATTAAAATAAAAAATAATTTAAAAAGTTAAATGTTCATTTTATTTAACTCCAATATATAATAGCTATTCATGAAAATATTTGATATTAAGGATAATATTTAATTACTTGCCAGGCTATAAGGAATTTCTTCTAATTAAAGCACCAATTGGACTTGAATGAAAAGCACAGCTATTTACCTATCACATCTTACCCTTTAGAAAGACACTATGATTCAAAGGTAAATTAGAAAAGGATGTGACCTCTTACCACTATCTGTTTCTAGCTCAGAGACCCATAATGGACACTTAAACTAAAAATTGACACTTTACAGAAACATTCCACTACTAACTTCTTCCTAACCATTTCCTCATTTCAGTATCATTAACACTTCTTATAAAGCAATTTAGAGACTAAAATTCCCATTCAGCAAGTCCTCAGAGTACAGGACAACAAATGTAAAGCACTGCATTCTAGAGGGCAGAGACAGGAAAAGTGTGTGCTTTGCAGCTCTGGGCTTACAGGACGATAAACATTTTCATGCACTGTACATAGTCAAACTATAGATAGTCTCAGATTCTGCAGAATAAATTATTTTACTCAATAGAGAACTTGGCAGCAGGACCAAAAAAGCTCACTGAGCTAGGCAGTAGAAATTGTGTAGGTTCTGTGTGTATCAAGCCTCTTTCTTACTATAAGCATGAGAGAGCGGATGGGGACAGTAAGAGGAATCAAGAACTCATGAATCTTTTAGAATTGTCATGGACAGATCTCCATTCAAGGATAAGCTAAACAGAAAAGTGTATACTGTATAGGTCCCATGAAAATATTTTTGCAATGGCACTACAGTGAAGGCAAGAATAAATAGCATATATATGGATATATGTATTAAGAACATATAAGGAAATTAAATAAAACTTGTAAAAATGCATCCTATGTTTCCAGTGATTACAGACTGAAAAACAGGAAAGATGAAATGGTTCTTGGCCAGTGTAAGAAAACACTGTATGAAACTATTGATATGATGGAAAAAATTAAATTTGTCTTTGCCGTAAAGGACCAGTAGTTACTATATAAAAACAAATCCTTGACATAGAATTTTTTTAAATTCTCTCAGAATACAGAAGATAACATGAAAGATAAAATGATGAAAGGTGAAATGCTACACTAGAGAGAACAGAGACAAGTCCAACCAAAAAAAGAATAATTCTCAAAAAGAATACAGAAAAAAAAAAACTGAATGAAAAGAATGAGCAGAAATTTTAATAGTAAAACAAAAACACCCTTGGTTTGTTTTGAATTTACAAGTCAAAATGGATTTGCCATTCTTTAAGCAGAATTAATGAGAGGCAATCCATATATAAATATTCTGGTAAATATCCATTGCCCTCCTTCCAACATCCTGGTCCTTTTAACTTTGTTTCAACCATTCATTTTTTTTTCAACCATGTATTTTTAAATAATTTTAGACCTAAAGTTGCAAAAAATAATACAGAGTTTATGTATCCCTTAGCCCAACTTCTCCTAATTTTAACAACTTATATAATCATAAATAATTAGGAGAAACAAAAATTAGCATTGGTACAATACTATAAACTACAAACCCTATTTAAATTTCACCAATTTTTCCACAAATATTCTTTTTCTGTTCCAGGATCTAACCCAATACCCCATGTTACATTAATTTGTGATCTCTCCTTACTCTCCTCCAGTCTGTGAAATTTAGTCTTTCTTTGTCTTTCATGACTTTGACACTTTCAGAGTACTGGTCAGTTATTTTGTTGATTATCCATCAATATGAGTTCGGTATTTTCTCTTGATTAAATAGAAGTTATACAGGAGCTCTTAAATGGCTCAGTCGGTAGAGCATGTGATTCTTGATCTCGGGGTTGTGAGTTCAGGCCCCACTTTGGGTGTAGAAATTACTTTAAAAAAAAATAAAATCTTAAAAAAAGTAGTTATGCATTTGGGGCAAGAATATCACAGAAGTGATGTTTTCAGTGTATCATTTCAAGGGATACAAGATGCCAGTATATCTGATTGCTGGTAATAATTAACCTTGATCACTTTAAGCATGAAAAGTAAATTGCCTAAGTAGCAGAACTAATAAGTGGCAGATCCAGGATTCTAACCTAAGCATGCTTTCTACCAAGAGAAAAACTTAGCTGG